GTTAGGACATGTGTTACGTATGCATCCCTAGCCATCGCCTTCCTCGACAACGGGCAATGTTCGCTGACATAGGGACAGGCTGGAAAAGAGCCAGCAGCGGTCAAATCAAAACATGTCACCAGTCAATGAAATCCACAACAGTTAGTCTAAGCCACGTAGGAAGATGTAGACTTCCTGGTTAGAGTCCTCGGGACGGTAAAAACCAACGGTTGTAAACAATTGGTGATATGGCTCAAAGTGATCGTTCTCAATGGCTGTCGCAGATGCATTCACTCCTTGTGACTTATGATTTCCAATGAAACTATATTGTTCTTCGTTACTACCATTCCTTTGTCTCACATTTCTGTTTACTGTCTCTATTATCCACTTCTTCTACTTTCTTCTCTTGCTTTGTATGCTCCATGGAGTGTGGCGACTTGAACTGCCACACATCGGTGCACAGACAGGCAGATGCCACAATAAGTATTCCAGTTGTTGTTGCCCTAGTGAGTGAATGTGATTGCGTAGCCTCTAGCGTTGACCTCTTCGCCTTCGTTATAATGTAATTTTGCTTTTCTATGCGTCGGTGGCATAGCGGTTAGGACGCTCGCCAACCATGCACATGGTCCGGGGTTCGATCCCCGGCCGGTGAACTCCTTAACTTCGCTAAGCCAGAACTAAAGTTGGTAAAGAGGAAAGGTTGGGCATGAGGCTAGCAACCCAATCCTGTAAAAACAAACACTGCTACAGAAACTTCAAGCCTTTAGCTTGAAGCCGCCCTATGTTCCACTTGGAACGTGAAGGAATAAAAAGAAAAAAAATGTTTCTATGATTGGAGTTTGATTGAGCTCACCATATTGTTGCTCAACTTATTCGTTAGTCATCCACCTTTTCACTAACTCTCGCAACTCCTTTGCCTCTGCATCAAGTTCTTATTTTTTTTAAATATCCCCATTATATACAAGCGTTGGTTTGCAGGGAATTGATTGGTTACAGTATTTCACAAAGAGCTGACATCTGTTAGAATACCATTGGAAAGCCAGCGAGGGAGTACTGACAGCTGTTTCATCAGCTTAGCTTTAGACTCTTCAGCAGTACGCATCCACCGACCCGGCTAGAAACCAGTACCCTCTGGTTATAAGGCGATTAAGCTCGTGGGCCATTAAAGCCACTATGGACCCCATCCAATTGACAGTTGAAGAATTCTAACTTCTGTCAATTCATGACATAGAGCGGCCACTTCACAATGTCATCTTCTATGAGTTACTGCCTCACACCTTCAACCTGTTGTAACCCGCTGTTCACAGCTTCTGACTAGAACCTCAGGCAACTACCTGTCTGAATAGAGCTGGTCGCTAGTGAGTATCAGATCAATTTTCAAGTATTGGTTTCTGTAGGGATTTGTTTTAATTGGTTGGTGAATTTCATCTGAAGGTCCTGCGTTCGAACTTCAGTCGTGGGTGAGTACCCCTGAAGAGTTCCAAACTAAGACGAAACAGCTGTCTGTCCAGTACTCTCTGGTGGTGGTTTTCCAATGGTTCTCTAACTGATGTCAGCTCATGATGAAATCCTCCAACTAATCACACAAAAAAATCCCTACTCAAACCAATACTTGAAAACATATTATCCTTCTCAGTCTATTCTTTTGTGCCGACACAACAAAATGCAAAATAGATGTGCTGCTATAGCCCCATGCTTCACTCGGTATCCAAAGGACGAATAATAATCACAACAATAATCAATACTAAACATGGCGTGTCAGTTAAACTTAAGAAATTCTCTATAAAATGTTACGACTACTTATAAGTAAGTTAAGTATTTTCATTTACTTTTCAAAAGGGATTAAATTCAGTTAGAAAACCAACTACAACGTCTATGAAGTACTGCAGGGCTGTTTAGTCCCAATTTTTGACTCTTCATTAGCACTCACTCATGAACTAGCTAGGGATGAAATTCAACGATTCCAGTTAATCAAAAACAGCTCATTAACTACTCCACCGATGGGATAGAATGAAACGGAACATGAATTCTAACTCTGGACAACCTGAAAGTCCTAAGTTCGATTCCAAGTAGGGTGATGCGTAATTACTGACGAATAGTTCAATATTGGGATGAAACAGCTGGACAAAATTCTTACTAGTTGTAATTGGTTCTCTAACTGGGTGTCAGGAAGGAAAAATTCCCGGTTGTAAATAATTATCTGAATCGTTAACAGAATAAACGATATTTTAGAGATTTCATACACAAATTCGTCTTCTTAACTTTGAACAATGAAAGAAGAAACATTGGCGTAGAATAATATGAGCACAGTTTTAGATTGGTCTTCACACTAGAGTTGATTTCTGATCCTCTAATCTTTCTACTCATTGCAATACATCATCATAGTGCCATTCAACTTCCTACATACCAATCTATTGAGTTCTAGTCACTGATTACCCAATTATCCCTAACTCATCACAACTCCGACAACAACACCTGTTCTCTTATAAATACCTTGTGGCCGGTGGTGTTCTACCAGTTGAGAGAGCTTTGAGACCCAACTAATGACCAGATCTCATGGTCTACCACTGGTTAGAATCCAGCGATGTCATAGATTTCCACTCCCTTCCCCACCCCTTATTACGACAATATAGTCACCCTAAAATTTATTCGTTACCAATAATTAATCGTGAGTATTTAAGACTATCTGGAAAGACAGATTCAAGCTACGAATTTTGAAGGTTTAGTAGTGGCGGTGAGTTGCAAGTCTTTCTACCTATCTGCCCTTTTTTCTCCGGACTTACTATCAAAGCTAGACAAGGCTTAAAAGAGTCCATAATGGATAAGATTTTATTTTAATAAATCACACAGTGTTGTACAGTTAAATTAACTGATGACGTTTCAACTTGATATGATTATGAGCAATAGTTTGTGCTGGAAACGTCATCAGTTAATATTACTGTACAACACTGTGTGATTTATTAAAATAAAATCTTATCCATTATGGAGTTATACTCTACCACAGTGCCCAAGCTTAAAAGAGTGTCGGTCAGGCGCAGAACCAGGGATAGTACGTGTGACTAGCAAGCATTCTAACACTGTGTTATTACACCCAGTACTATTATTCACTAGTGTTAACCATGGAACAGAGAAACATTAAAAAGTTATTAAGCATAAAAAAATAATCCATCCAGGTCACTCAAATATTACTACCATCCGTAAAAAAAAGGATGATTTCACCGTGAAAATTATACGATATTTCAAAATACGTTTCGATGAACATAGTGGAAAAGTCAATCAGTTTATCGAATAGCTTTGAAGCGTGAAACGGAAACCTAGTAGGTCATGACAATGAAGTATTTAGACTTCAAATCATCACACCCCATCAGCTCAAAGGTACCAGTTGTTTTAAGTCTTCTTAGATGAGCACACTATTTGACGTTAACGGATGATAAGGAAAAAGAAGAAGCAGAAATATCAAACATTACTGAAACTCTCAAACAAAACAACTACCCAAGGAACTTCATCAACAAAATCAACAGAAACATTAAGTATGGCCGAAAACGTATTCCGAAAACATGAACCTCCTCAACAGTTGTCATTCCATATAGAGCAGAGACATCAGACGATAGATATCAGAAGAGTACTCAATCAGCTCGACATTAGAGTTTTCTTCAAAACATCAGACACGCACACTGCGAAACAACCTTGTCCATATAAAAGACCAAATCCCTAAAGATTCTCTATCTGATTGTGTCTATAAAATAAAATGCCTGCTTGGAATGTGATGCGATATACATCGGACAAACATCGCCAGAGGGAAATCAAGGTGATCAGAAGAAATGAACACCGCAGAGATGTATCTGTTCGACCACCGAGAAATCCAGTTGAACTTGAATGGCATGAAAAATCATCAGCCATAGCTTGTCTACATGCTATAGAATCAGGCCACAAAATTGATTTTGACAACGTTGAAATCATCATTCAGAAAAATTTCAGAAATCACAAACACCATCTATTACCATCGGAAGCACTTCATACCAAGTGGAATCCAAATTGCCTGAATAGGAATGATGGACTAAAACAGAATCTGACCTGGTTACAACACCTCCCTCCCCCATCAAGTGACAAAACCAACACGAATGTGATATACAAGTTCACTATGTAAGCACATGCTGACTATATAATTTTACACACTTAGCGAATCCAACAATCTACAATTGATTTTGTTATCTTTACCAATTGACCAGCTTGACAACGAAAAATGACCCCATACTGACGAACGATGATCAAGTTAGTAAACTTTGTTTTGATATCATAACAGATGTACTATTACCTTTGTTATTTGGTTTAGTGATCTTCATTGTTATTTTGACTTTCAATATGTCCCCTTTAACTTGACCTAACTTGTCTATTTTCTCACCCCTTAACTCTTTGTTATATATATGCTGAGATTTTGTAAATTCCGGTTTAATAATACTTTGATAAAGCTATTAGCATTAAATAGCGAGACGTCAGTACAAATAACAATATCGTTTTGTCTTTTTCATTCATTGGGAAATACAAAAAAGGCCTTATTATAATGAATATCATATACCCAATGGCCAAATTTTTTCAAACTGTTAAAAGTGAACTTGGTTTGGACATATATAAACACACCAATGTTCAAATAATACAAAGTATATCGCATATATGTACACCACACTTATGTAATTGTGAACAAAGATTTGAATGACTCACTTTATCATCATCTTCATAAAGTTTTTCACCTTTTCTGACAATATTCACAATCACCTTCTTTAATCCAATCGGCATATCACCTGATATTTCTTGATAATTTTTCAAGTCGGTTAACTCCTCAGATAAACCCTGTGAGAAAATTATTTTTTTAAAACAAAAATAAAACATTTCATTCAAATGAACTGTCGTCGTCACGATTTGACAGAATAGTCAATATGAACGAAGAATATTCTTTTCAATAATTTCTCTTCAGGTTCTTACAATTATAAATTATATAAAAATATATAATATAATATCAGCAGGGGGGAAATTAAGTGCATAAAAAGCTCGATCCTGTCACACTTGGTCGATACTGGACATCATATCGATGTCAACACAGCTTTCAGGGTTATATACCGAATTCCGAAGTCGTTATCACGTACAGTTCGCTTACGTCTCCTACACATAGCTGAAGCTGTTGCAATAAGATCGACTAAACCGGAACTTTGTATCCAAGAAGAACAGGTCCAGATGCTGTTCCTACCGTGGCCAAACTTGGATTGATGATTCTTCTTCTCACCAAGACTGCTCCTTCCCCTTAACCCTCTTGGTTTTTCTTCTTTCTTCCTTTGCTTATTATTACAACTATTATTATTATTATTATTTCCTTTAGTTCCTAGAGGAACATAGGGCTTCAGCCATGCGTCTCCATTGCGTTCGGTACTCTGCTAGAGTTTTCACCTGGCTCCAAGTCTGCCCATACGCTTTCAATTCTTCTTCACATGATCTTATTATTCGTCATAATTTATACCCTTCATGCAAATTTTATATTTGTAAAATCTCAGCGAGATTGAAATGAGTAATTCCAACGTTTCCTGTGTTCGGCAATCTGGTCCAAACTTCGTGTTTTTTCACTCTCCGTTGTCTGCAACAGAATAATGCATATCCTAAATCCGTAGCTGTCGAGTCATCTGACAACTCTCCAGTAGGTCGAATAAAGCAGCTCGATCTTCAGAAAGAAGACAAAGCAATAAGTTCAACAGGATGCTTCAACTAAACTCTAATCCTAAACACCATAATTTTGAAAATATACGTCTAACCATAAAATTCTAGATACTAACAGTTTGAACAGACGTGAAGGCGTGATGTTAGCTGATGCGTAGGAAATCCTGATTAATAAATAAAAAATGGATATTTATCACTGTCTGTCTCTGTCTGGATTCAACATAGAACTTGGCACCGAAGTGCAGCAGTTCGAGTTGCCACCTTCCAAATACCACACAAAGCTAGACAAGAAAATGAGTGAGAAGAATCAATAGAGTTTTGACAAGTATAAGAGTGAAACAGAATGAGTAATGGTAGAAAGGAGTATGAAGGTTAAAGCGACTGAATACATCTGCGTAAGCCATTGACAACGATTTTGAGCCATGTCACCTATTGTCTCCAGCCATTGATTCTTAGAGTCCCGAGGGCCCCAACCCGGAAGTCTGCATCTCCCTCCTTACCTGACTCAGTTTAACTGTCAAGGATTTCATGGATTGATGAGGCCATGTTTTTGTTTGGCCACCACTTACTCTTTTCCAACTTGCACCTATATCAGCTAGTAATGCCCTTCGGGGGAGAAGATGGTTAGGCATGCGCACCACGTGACCTAACCATCTCAATCTATGTAACTTTATAGCCTCTTCGAGTGATTTTCCCTCTTTGCCCAACACTCTAAGCCTAACGTCAACATTACTTACCTTATTATACCACCTAACGCGAGAAAGAGATCGTAAACATCTGTGGTCAAAAACAGACAATCTCTTCATGTCTTTCGCTCTCAATGGACACGTCTCACCGCCATAGAGAAGGACGGAGCGAACTGATGAGCAGTATACACGTCCCTTGGTTGACAGCCGGATGTCACGCCTACGCCACAGATGGTGTAAGTTAGCGAAAGCAGCTCGAGCTTTTTGCATCCGTGCTGAGATTTCATCACCAATCAATCCGTTGTTGCTGATGCAACTTCCTAAATAGGTGAAGTGATCAACATGTTCTATCACTTCACTCCCTATCACTAAGCTAGTTGACGTAGTCCAGTCCTGTAGCAGCATCTTACATTTCACAGGGGCGAATCGCATACCAAACATACGAAGATTGCTGCTCAAGGTGTTCAGAAGACTCTGCATTTTGTCAGCATCCTCCCCTAACAGGACTATGTCGTCTGCGTATTCTAAGTCTACAGGACTATTCCCTGGTAACAAGTCGATTCTTAAGTCGTTAAGTTCAGTTAAGGATACTTCCATTAGCATATCTATGATGAAGTTAAACAGAAAAGGGGAAAGTGGACATCCCTGACGGACACCACTGGTTGTTATCAATTCAGATGACAATATTTATCACTAATTAATAATAATACCTGGTCAAAATTCCCGACTGTCGATTTCTTCTTATGAAGACGCTAAGAAATGTTTAACGAACTGTTTACCCACACACACACATACACTCTGTTTAAAGTGTTTAACAAAGGTAGACCAATATTTGTAAGTCCGAGGTCGAATTTTGATCACATCTCATAAAATTTTGTTTATTATACTTGTTGAATGACTCATGATTGGACAAAGTTTTTAAAAACAAGAGATGTCCCTCTTTTTATATATAAACCTCTGTTATGTTAATTTCGATTAATTTCCCTGAAGAAGTTCGGACCAGATTTCCGAACACAAGAAACGTTGGAATTACTCATTTCAATCTCGCTGAGATTTTACAAATATAATTATTTTTACAAAAACATTTCATTGCTAATAAGACTGAGCAGTGATCAATTAACAATCAATGAATAATGTGGCACACTGAGTAGTTGAAACAACTTAGCTTTCACAAAGGTATAAGTTTCATTGGAGGGATGGGTTCGACATATAATAAAGGTAATAGGGGGATAAAGGCAACTAGGTGAAAAGGAATAAGAAAGGCATAATATGACATGAAAATATGGATGATTATGTCCCCGCTGAAGAGGCAGAGAAAACAGGACTGCATGTCAGAAGAGAGAAGATGGAGGTGATGAAGATAACCAACCACCACTAAGAGCAGCAACAACAATAAGTACCAATCACCGACAATGGGAGAGATTTCATCGTTTAAACTACAGGCGACAACACGGATGAAGATGTCAAACCGAGCCAGTCAGAATCAGAAAGGCAAGGTTCACCTCCAACAGTCTATAGCTAGTTCCGAAGTCTTCTGCACTCACTCACTCACTCAGCCAATCAGCCAGTCAGCATAAACAACAAGATTCCTTCGGATTGTGTTTAACACAAATGTGAAATCAGTCAGTCAGTGAGTTCTTCTATACGCGTGAGAACCTAGCACTACGCGTCACAGAGGGGATATCAAAGAGGCTACTGTGAACGTTTACCAACAGTTGTCAACTTTGCTGAAGATCAAATGGTCGGCCCGTTGACCAGCCAGCCAGAGAGAATTAGCAAGGAGAAACTCTGGCTTGTGTCGAACCAACGAAGAGTCGATTGCTCAATAACAAATACGTAGGAGAAAATGGAGATGGATAGAATGGGCATATGCCACTGAGTAGGCCATCAAATGACATCGCGCGCAATGCAGGCCATCGCTCGAGTGGAATCTCAATGAGAAGCGACAAGTGGGTCGTTGGTCTGAGGGTGACATGTAGGAGATCGTGTGTTGAGGAGGAGGAGAGGATGCAAGATTACGGTCAATCGTGAGTCAAGGCAGCTGAAGAGGAGTGTAGAGAATAGAACAAAGTAGAGATGTATTGTTGAAGCCGTATGTTTCACTTGAAAACCAAGAAGGGAATAATAATATATACATATATATGTATAACCTCACTAAATATTTTTTCGTTGAAATTGTTTCACAAGGTTTCTCCGTATTTAGTTTATTCAGAAATGTCATTTCTACTGCTAATTCCGTTTCACGCTTCAAAGCCATTTTTTGATGATAAATTGACCTTTCCACCGTATTCATCGATGCGTACTGAAACTTTATATATATATATATATATATATATATATATATATACATATAGCTCGTATACCATTCAGCCACTGGGATCCGTATCAATGGCCAGTCCATGAATTCTAACTTCTACCAATTCGTGATTTTTTGGCGCGACCACCAAGCAATTTCATCGGCGGGAAATCTATCCTCACACTTGACTGGATGGACCTCACTGATCACGACTTCTCATTAACATTGCAGGCAACTTCGTCGTGTAGGAAGTCACAAGCGAGCATCAGATTAATTTTCGCTAATTGGTTTATAGGGATTACATTTGTTGTTCAAGTTTAACCACGGAATAACTGGTCACCCTAAATCACGAACAGGTAGAAGTTAGAATTCATGGGTTGGCCATTGTTACGATTCCCAGTGGCTGAATGGTGTACGGGCTAGCTTGCCTTGTAACCCGGAAGGTCGCGGGTTCGAACCCTGGCGGTGGGTGCGTACCACCGAAGATTCCTGAAGAAACAGCTGGCTTTCAAGTACTCCGGTGCTGGTTTTTAATGGTTCTCTAACTGGTATCAATCCGTGATTAGATTAAACCAAAATATCTAATCTCTATCCATACATATCAGTTCCCTGGTACGAATGAGTCCACAACGCCATTAGGATTAACATGATATCACTTGTTTTGATGTTGGTTGACTTTGAAATCCAGGGGATACATCAACTGTACTGAACCTGGAGAGCTACATTTTGAGCACAGAGTGCTCACATGAAGACATTGTCGAAGCATCCAAACTAGGGTTCAACATATGAATAGAGATGGAGGATTTCAGACAAATGCGAATCAATCAACGGACGTGTCTAACCCTTTGGAGTTTGAAACAGTGGGTACTGGGCTCGAGTCACCACCAATCATTAGGAATGCAGGTCCAACCAAGCGGATGAGTCTAAAATAGTAGCATCTCGTGATTGTAACATCACCTAAAACCCAAAGCTATTTAATGCTCCTATTTTGAAGCATAAAAAAGCTGGACAAAAGAAAAGAAAATGCATGAATCATAATCACACGCATATATACACATACATAAGTCTAATTAAATGTCAGCCAAATCTCCGACGAAATCTCAGAACGAATACAGAGGGCTAGTTACGCAATATGACAGTTTACGCCGTCTCTGACGTAGACGTGATATCCGACTATCGACCAAAGGGCGTGTGTACCGCTCATCAGTTCGCTCCGTCCTCCTTTATGGTTGTGAGACCTGGCCATTGACAGTGAAAGACATGAAAAGATTAGCTGTCTTTGATCATAGGTGTCTGCGTTCCATCTCCCGCGTGAAGTGGTATAATAATGTGAGCAATATTGAGGTTAGGCGTCGAGTGCTAGGTAAGGCGGGGAAATCAATCGACGAGACTGTGAAATTACATCGACTGAGATGATTAGGACATGTGTTACGTATGCCTAGTCATCACCTTCCTCGATAGTGGGCAATGTTAGCTGATATAGGGTCAGGCTGGAAAAGTGCTAGTGGCGGTCAAACCGAAACATGGCACCAGTCAATGAAACCTACAACAGTTAGTTTAAGCCACGTGGGAAGGTGTAGACTTCCTGACTGGTTGGGGTACTCGGGACGGTAAAAACCAATGAGGGCTGGAGACAATTGGTGATATGGCTCAAAGTGATCGTTTTCAATGGCTGACTTGGCGCAGTTGCATCCACTCCTTACGACTTATAATTTCCAATGAAACTATATTGTTCTTCGATATTACTATTCTTTTGTCTCACACCTCTGTTTACTGCCTCTATTATCCATTTCTCCTACTTTCTTCTCTTGCTTTGTGTGCTACGTGGATGGAGTGTGGCGACTTGCACTGCCGCACATATGTGCAAAGTTCTATGTCGAAAACAGACAGACAGCCAGACCAATGATGTGCATCGGTAGCACAGCGGTATAATGCTCGCCGACCACGAATATGGTCCGGGGTTCAATCCCCGACCACTGAACGCACTTCTTTACGTCACTAAGCCAGTAATAAGACTGGTAAAGGGGAAAGGTTGAGCATGAGGCTAACTAGCAACTTGATCCCGTAAAAATAAATAAACACTACTGCTACCGAAACTTCACGCCTCTAGCTTTAAGCCGCCCCTATTTTACGCTGGCGACGTAAAGGAATAAAAGAAAAGACAGATCAATGATTCTTGGGGAGCAAAAAAGGAGGAGAAATAATTCAAAATGCAAAAAAAATCAATCACTTACATTATCCAAATTATTTTCATAGTGATCAGATTGACCATTCTGTTGCCTATCATGAATATTTTCCATTGATGAGGAGTCGAAATCAGCAACTTGTTTCGCTTCTTCTTGTTCAACATATTTAACTCGTCTGAACAAAAAAGGATGAAGAAATATATTAGTAAGAAGAAGACTTCGAAAGGCACGAGATTATGTTGGCGTATTAGACTCTGCGCCATTGAGAACGAGGATTTCGAGCCAGCCATATCAGCAATTGTCTCCAGACGCCATTGGTTTTTTTTTACAATCCCGAGGACCCAAACCAGACAGTGGTGTACACCTCCTTATGTGGCTGGCTGAACCTAACTGTTATGGATTTCATTCATTGACAGTAATATGTACTGATGACGACGTTTCGAGCACAATTTATTGCCACTCATAATCATATCAAGGTAGTCACACAACTTTCTACCTTCGTCTATATAATTCCATCACTATTTTTCATCGCTTGACTTGATTGGTAGTAGTATTTTCCATATTTCCAGTATGAGTGATGAGTCATTCCTATTGCACGTGCGTTGGGTGTAGACTCGATGAACCAGGCAGGATTCAGTAATCAACCTCTCTCTATCTCCACCTACCTATATTACTTTTTAGAATTTTGACTCTGTCCCACCCACACCATTGTGTGGTTGTGTGTTAATGCATGCAGTGCAATTGCTGAGTTTTTCTTCTAAATTACTTATCTTCGCGGGGTCAATCATTCTTATGTTCTGACAATCTGACTACTCCCGATCTACTAGTTTGACCTATGTAGTTGACTTAACTCATAGTCATTGGAAGGTATTTTGTAAATTATATTATTTTGTTTAATTGGGTCAACCCACAGGGTCTTTTAACCTACAGAGCTTGTCCTACCTAAGTGAGTTTGTAGGTTTAAATGCAACTCTAATTCCTGCTTTATTGAGAATCCTACGTAGAACCTCAGATGTCCCCTCCTTATATGGTAAAACTGTAGAGGAATCATATTCTTTCTTATTTATGTTATCATTATTAGTTTCACCATTATTTTTATTTTGTTTTTGACCTTTTCTGATCTTCCTAATGAATTTTATAGGGTAGTTATTTGATACCAACGCTTCTTCTATCTGTTTTATTTCATCATTTAGGTCTTTTCTTGTGCTACTTAGTGCTATTGCTCGGTTTGTCAGACACTTAACTAAGCCTGCCTTGACAGTTAACGGATCAGATGAATTAAGGGAGTCTAAATATCTATTAGAATGCGTTGGATTTTATAAACGCTGGTAAGCAGTTTACCTTCTTCTGTTCGTTTTATTTTACAATCTAACATCATGGCTAATTCTCCTTGTTCATTTTCCGATTTAAATGTGAATTTTATTCCCTTTACTAGTGAGTTGGAATCCTAACAAAATCAGTAGAGCAGTTTATAGATATGAATAGGGAAACGGCTTCATACAATCAAGCCAGCACAACAGACAATGCGTACAGCAGCACAGACTAACAACAGCAGTAGAGTATCACGGCAGAAAAATTCAATTTTTTTCCCTCTATGGTCAAAAATCAATATTTTGTGACAGCTACGACTGAAAGAACTTTAAGATTTTCAAATTCTGCAATTAAAACAATATCAAAAAAAGAATTCTTAGAAGCATTAATAGTACTAATCTTTTCATATATATACATTTTGTATTTCTTGTTAATTCCTTATATTGAATTGAAACGTCGATATGTCGGCTACTCCTGCGGACGTTTCGACGGTATCTGAGAATAAAAATGATGTTACGTATTTGGTAGATGGTGGCGTTGTTTGAAACGATAACCTCTGGGTTTAGGGTTTCAATGGGAATATCACCTATCATTCAATCACTTGTGAGAATGTCGGTACATCCCCAGTTGATAACAACTCCCAAAGAAGGGAGAAATACGGCCTATCCTGGATTCGTTAGAGGATTTCATAATGAGGTGACATCAGTTAGAGAACAATTGGAAAACCACCCCCAGGGACAGCCAGCTGTTTCGTCTCACTAGTTTGGGACTCTTCATTAGTCTCTCTCTGTCTGGATTCAACATAGAACTTGCCACCAAAGTGAAGCAGTTCGAGTTGCCACGTTCCAAATAGCACACAAAGGTGGTAGACAAGAAGATGAGTAAGGAAGAGAATCAATAGAGTTTTGACAAGTATAAGAGTAGTGAAACAGAATGAGTAATGGTAGAAAGGAATATGAAAGATTACAGAGACTGAATACATCTGCGTAAGCCATTGACAACGATTTTGAGCCATGTCACCTATTGTCTCCAGCCATTGATTCTTAGAGTCCCGAGGGCCCCAACCCGGAAGTCTGCATCTCCCTCCTTACCTGACTCAGTTTAACTGTCAAGGATTTCATGGATTGATGAGGCCATGTTTTTGTTTGGCCACCACTTACTCTTTTCCAACTTGCACCTATATCAGCTAGTAATGCCCTTCGGGGGAGAAGATGGTTAGGCATGCGCACCACGTGACCTAACCATCTCAATCTATGTAACTTTATAGCCTCTTCGAGTGATTTTCCCTCTTTGCCCAACACTCTAAGCCTAACGTCAACATTACTTACCTTATTATACCACCTAACGCGAGAAAGAGATCGTAAACATCTGTGGTCAAAAACAGACAATCTCTTCATGTCTTTCGCTCTCAATGGACACGTCTCACCGCCATAGAGAAGGACGGAGCGAACTGATGAGCAGTATACACGTCCCTTGGTTGACAGCCGGATGTCACGCCTACGCCACAGATGGTGTAAGTTAGCGAAAGCAGCTCGAGCTTTTTGGATCCGTGGTGAGATTTCGTCGCCAATCAGTCCGTTGGTTCTGATAAAACTTCCAAAATAGGTGAAGTGGTCAACATATTCTATCACTAAAGCCAGCAACACCCGGTATTCCCAGCCGGTCACCCATGCAAGTACTAACCGGGCCCAACGTTGCTTAACTTCGTTGATCGGACGAGAACCGGTGCTCTCAACGTGGTAAGGTCTCATCCACCGCTACAGCTAGAACCCAGGACCTTCTGATTACAAGGCCAGCAAGCTCGTAGACCATTAAGCCACTGGGGCCAGCTCATGAGTTATAACTTCTACCAATTCATGACATAGCACAACCACTTCGTAATGTCTTCTTCGAGGAGTAACTGTCCTCACCTTCAACCAATCAAACGAAATCCCTACAAAAAACCAATACTTGAAAATATCCTGGATTTCACTGCTATTAGTTATCATGCACCGAGAGTAGAACTTTATTTAAACTTTGTTTCGTTTAATTTAGTTTCTTGTAAAAACAAACTTATTTTTATTTTACGATTCAACATGAACACCCGTTCTTTAACATGTACTCATAAACTGTGTCAATATTTTAGCAGAAGCGAGTAAATAACAAAGGTCAACATTGTATGTACATATTATATCGTATCACTTAGTTTAAGATTATGAATATGAGTAGAGAATTATCGCTGAAAAACAACACTAAATGCTGTAGAAGTACCAGCTTAACTTATCATGATAAAGCCTCTGTTTGCTTTCTTTATTGCCAACACGTTTATTGTTCATTTGCTGATATTATTATCATTATTTTTATTAATTTTCGCGAGTTGGTTTGCATGGATTAGATTTGTTTACACGAGTTTGACCACGGATTGATATCAGTTAGAGAACCATTGAAAACAAGCTGGGAGAAGTGGACAGTTGTTTCATACTAGTTTGTGACTCTTCATCAGTACGCATCCGCCACTACAGCTAGAACCTAAGACCTTCTGATTACAAGGCCAGCGAGCATGTAGACCATTAAACTACTGAGACACACCAATCCAATGGCCAACCCATGAATTCTAACTTCTGCCAATTCATGACATAGCACAACCACTTCGTAATGTCTTCCTCGAGAAGTAACTGTCCTCACCTTCAAACAATCAAACTAAATCCCTACAAAAATCCAGTACTTGAAAATATACTGGATTCCACGGCTATTAGTCATGCATATTAGCTTGTTTATTAGATAAATCACACAGTGTGAAACAGTATTATTATTATTATTTACTGGATGACACAGTTTCGAACAAAACTTATTGTTCATAATCATATCAATGGTAATCACACGACTTTGAAACTTGAGTTTTATAGTTTCCTTTGTCCTCTCCTATTTGTCGTCGTTGGGGTAGTAGAATTTTCCAGATATCTTGGTGGACAGGTGTTGAATCATTCCTGTTACATGTATTTGCAGTTGATTCGATAAACAAAGCTTTCGCTGTCATCAATCTCTCCCTCCACCCTGGTGTTATATTAGATTTTAAAATTCTCATCTTATCCCGTTCCATCCTATTGCATAGTTGTGTGTGATTGCATGTAGTGAGTGGTATAGCTGAACTATTCTCTAGATTACTTATCTTACTCGAGTCAACTAATCTGGGTTTCGCTAGGTTTCTATGCTCGGCTAGTCTGAATGACTGCTCCTGTTCTACTACTTTTACCTTACAATCATTACAGCAGGGTATTAGATAAACTGCATTGTTTTGTTTAGCTGGCTCCACTGACGGAATCCTTTAACCGACAAAGCTTGTTTCTAATTGAGTTTGTGTGTGGTTTGAATGCCAGCCACTTTTATTCCCACCGGCTTTGTCAAGAATTCTGCGTAAGATTTCCAAGGTTCCTTCCTTGTATGGAATTACTACTGATGATTTAGATTCCTTATTGTTGGTGTTGTCGTTATCCTGTGCATATTTGACATGTATGTCGTCATTAATATTTTGTTCGAAACTGTGTCATCCAGTAAATAATACTGTTTCACTCTGTGTGTGATACATCTAATAAATAAACTAATGTGCCCAAGTTTTCCACATATACTATGAGTCATCATCCACCGGAAATATAATTGTATTTAACTTTGTTCCGTTTAATTTAGTTTCTTGTAAAAAAACTTATTTTTATTTTACGATTCAATGTGAACACCAGTTTTTTAACATGTACTCATAAACTGTGTCAACATTTAAGCAGGGAAGTGAGTAAATAACAAAGGTCAATATTGTATGCATATATATATTATATCATATCACACTTAGTTTAAGATTATGAATGTGAGCAGAGTATTAGTGTTGAAACACAA